CAGGCCACGAACGGATTCATGTTTGTGTCTGATAGTAATGGTGCAGGGTTTGCCATTGCCTGTCCGCCTCATCAGGGCCTTTGAGAAGGGTTTGCTGCTGACAAGCTCAATACTAACACTGGCCTGGCTGTAATATTGTTATTTTGTTTATATTTTGAGACCCAGTCTTGTTATGTTGCCCAGGCTGACCTTGAATTGCTGGGCTCTGGCGATCTTCCTGCCTCAGGCTCCTGAGTAGCCAGGATATAGGTATGCACCATGGTGCCTGGTTTTATTATTTTTAACTGGTACATCAAAACATAAAAATTATGCATATTAATGGAATATATAATTTTTTTTTTTTTTTTTGGTACTTTTTTAGGTCATCAGGAACTTGCACTTGCCAGGTAGGCACTTACACTCCTGAGCTTGGCCTATTGTGTAATTTTTCATACATACATTTGTGTGTTTGTGTGTGTGTGGGTGGTGATGGTGCTGCTGCTGCTATTGCTTCTACTTCCGGGGATAGAACCCAGGGCTTTGAGCATACTGGACATGCATTCTACCACTGAGCTTCATCCCTAGCCCAGGCCTTATTGTTTTTATCTAACGGGTTAGACTTTGTTCTGCATGGCATTATATAATCTTTAAGAGAAAGTGCTGAGCAGCCAGAGCCCAGAAAAGGAACAATGACTATTTTTTATGCTAGGAAGGAGACAAAAGAAGAAGTGGAATCATAACCAAATAATGCTGGTTATAGGTGCTATTTAGACAGGGTGTGAGCTCCAGAAGGCGGAGTATTCCTACCCTGGGGTCTTGCATTGAGTATGAGTTTGCTGGGTTCAGTTTTCCCAGGGCTGTGTTTTAAACTTCTCCATTCACTGTTGGAGCTCTAGTTCCTGGAACATAGTAGGGCTAAGATAAATATTGTTGGAATGTCCCAGGGAGTCTAGCACCCTTAGTGGTCACTGGGGAATTCACTGTCTCCCTTGACATTTGGAGAAAGACAGTCAGGAGGGGGAAAAGACTTGTCCAAGCTCACCCAGGGGAAGCGGCACCCAACAAAGAGTGGAGTCACCTGTACCTCAGCCAGCACTAAGGGTCGCTTGGGTTTGCTTTCCCAAGAGCCCAATAGTTAGCTGGGGTTTTTTGTTGTTGTTTTGTGGTATGGGGGATTGAACTCAGGACCGTACACTTGCCAGGCAAGTGCTTATTCTACTGAGCTATCTCCCTGACCCTAGGTAGCTGTTCTTATCCTCTGATTATAACGGAAGAATCAAGCTCAGAGAGGTTAAAGAGCTTTTACACAGTTTCCCAGTAGGGGAGGAAGGAGCTGCTCTGACTGACTGAGGAGCTCTCACCAGAGGTCTGGAGGGCCTTGTCTTGAGTTCTGGCCAGACTGAAAGCCTTCTAGACATTCTCCAAGACATGCCCATGCCACCAATCATTTGAGGGTTCTTCGGCTCCAGTCAGATGGAAATCTTAAATTGGCAAAGTGCATTTTTGCTAGTGGCCCTGGTGATACCAGTTGACACCAGTTAATGCCAGATGCCACCAGTTGATGTTGTCGGTAGCTGGTCTCTGC